CCAGACAGTTTGGAGCTGTCAGCACGAACATATCCTGGATGTTGGAGGGGCCCAGATGTGGGATGGTGGCTGTTTTCCTCTGGGTCCAGATTCCCCAGAGACCAGAGCTACAGTAGAAGCCTGTTTGTGAACACTTTATTGGGGAGTGTGGTCCTTGGGGAACTGGAGGCAGAGCAGCAGAAAGCATAGATACTGGGCATGTGTTCCTACACTGCACGATGTCTTTGAGGAGTCTGTGAAATGTTCGTCTACTTGGAATGAGGGAGGGGAATTTACCTACTGCTCCCTGTTACCCATAGATCTGCGTTGGCACACGAGGAGTAAAAGTTGCCAGGTGGCACCTGCAACAGCTCCAAATTCTGGTGTGCAAGCCAGGATAGATCTGCTTGTGTCATGCCTCAGCAGGTGGCATGGTGTGTGCTGATGACTGTTGCCTTAGGTCGGAGGTCACAATCAGAGGCAACCATGCAGAACCATTTGGCAGGGTTACATAGAGGGGTCACATGCCCGCATGTGGTACAGCTCTTGGGACACATCCACATTAGCTTCTATCCTCTTAGCCCTCAAATAGTCCTTCAGGGAGGAGTGATGAGAAACTCTACCCCAGTTACAGCTGAGGAAACAGGCTTAGTGAATCCCAGGGGCTTTACAACTTAGTAGTGGAAACAGAGAACATGTCTCATGACTCTACATTCCAAATCCTCCCCCGATGTCCCGGGCCTAAGATCTGCCATCACAGGAGAGGACTCAGGTAAATTGGGGGTCAGATGGTCAAAGGTGGGGTGCAGCCAAGGGCACGGAGGAACCAACCACATAGTGAAGGCTGGTATGCAGACACGCGGGGACTTCTCAAGGCAGTGTCATCTGTGCGGGGCCAGGACTGGGGGCAGCAAGTGGGACTGGCAACAGGACCCCAGGAGCCCTTCATGTTTAAGGACAGCAGAGATGGTAGGTAGACACCTTGGCTGAGTCTAGAGGGCAAGAGTGAGGCACAGTACTGGGGAGCTGGGGGAGGCAACAGGGTAATGGCAGGAAATGTCTAGACCTGGTTACTTTGTCATCTCACCTCTGGCCAGTTGACCATCCTGCAGCTCATCCAATTCAACAAAGGGTGTTTCAGGCTCACTCTGCCCGATAGCCCTCCATGCTCATACCCACCCTGATGGTTCCTGTGGCTCTGAGAGCAGCGGTTTTGGTCCTTCTAACCACCTGAAGAGGGCTCTGCCTACATAGGGAGCTTAGCTTTCTTGGTGGTGGCTCCACAGAGCCAGGTAAACCTAGGCAGGCATGGAAACGGTTTCTCTCTCTTCTGGGCAGGCAGGAACCTTCCAGTTAGACCTTCAGCCTGGATCCCTGGACCTGCCCTCCTACCATCTGGTTTGGTGTGGGAGGTGAGAATCTTTTAAGGTCTGTCTGCAAGGAGACAGTGAATCACTTACTCTGCCTGGCTGTGAGGTGGTTTACTGAGTTGATTAGGTCTCTAATTAGAAGGTGCTTGTCTTCTTGCCCCAGTGAAGGACGAGGGATTGGGAGTAGTGAGGCCAGTTAGGTACAGCCTGTTCCCATTCCCCATTTTGGGGCTGTAGCTTGGCCCAGACCAACTCCATCTGGATTAGGGCAGAGGCATGGGTGAACTTCAGAAGACAGCCCAGCCCAGTTCTGGCCTAGAGTCACTCTTACTTGTCACCAGGTCTTTCTGGGCCCTCTTCAATGACTATAGTCTGATTTTGAGGGGCAGGAGTATCGGTATCTGTGTGCAGACAGGAGCCTCTGAACTTCCTGATACTCCTCTGTACCAAGAAATCCTCAGGAAATACCAGTGTCAGGCTTGTTCTCTGGACCAGCTAGGGTGAGAGCTGGGCAAGATGGCTTTTAAAAGTTCCTGGTCTGCCCTGTTGTGAGGCCACAGGGGAAGGAGCCTAGTTTATCTGACACAAGGCACTGGAGGCTGGAACCTGCAAGAAGCAGGCTTTCTAGCCTTCTGTCTACCTGCACTCTCCTTGGTGTCTTGCTCAGAGACAGATTCAACCAGCAGGCCTGGCCTGAAGGAGGTGCTGAGGAGGGTCTAATGCAGCCACCTTATAAGGGGCTCTTTGACCTCCTAACAGACATCAGAAGCATACTCTGTCTGCCCTGATGCTCCCAACTCAGGCCTCATTCCTGCCTGCCTTTGCTCATTGTCTTTGGGACTTGGCCTCTGTGTCTTGTCTTCATCTGGAAGCACGTGGGGTTGGGGGTAGTGTTACCATAGGAATAAGTAAGATGATTCATTGTCAGCACATACTGTCACTTAAGCACCTACTTAAGAGTCTTAGTTATTGCTGTGTGTTTCCCCAAAGAGGCTTTCATAAACTCTACTGATTCCCAGGGTAGGGTGCTCAGCCTTGCTGGAACCAGAACTGCCCCAGACACCCCTGCTGGGTCCCCACACTCCACTCCTGTGAGTCTCACTGTCCCCTTTGGAGCAGCAGAGTCACAGTGGGTTGAGTCCCAGGCCTGTTCCCTCTGGGTCTGGTTCTTTCCATCAGGCCTCCCCAGTACTGGGGTGAGCCTTCTTGAAGGCTGTGTATAGCCACCTGCCCATTGAGGTTTAACAAAGGCCACGTGAGTTAGTGGGAAGTTAGAACATGTGCCCCTGGTCATCTTTTGAACTTTTGAAACTGTGAACTTGAAGGAGTTTGCACTAAGCCTTGGTGAGACTCAGCATAGCCACTGTGGGTGATGAGAACCCACCAGTGTTGTGTGATTGTGCAGATGTTCACTGAGCACATGATGGGTGTGCGAAAGGACACAAAAATGGATGTGAACTTCTTCTGGCCTTGGGGGTCAGCCGAAGATGAAGACAGGGAGGCTTCCTAGAGATGCCAACGCCTGGGCTGGACTTGGAAAGCTTGGGGTTTTCTATCCCAGTGAGTCTCAGTTCTATGGTCTGAAAAACGAAGAGTTTACTCAAGTCTGGGCCCTCAGACTTGAAGACAGAGGTTCCTGAAGTATTTCTTGGAACACAGTACCAACTTACCCCCACACAGCAAGGGTGGGCTGGGCCCACAAAGGTGCACCCGACATGTGTGAGGCCCCCTTGCCATAGAGCTGCTGCCTAACTGAGCTTTGAGGGGTGCATTCTGGTATGGTTTCCTCTCCCCTGGCCTTGTCTTTGGACTTTGAGTTCTTGCCCTATTGGCAAAAGGTTTTTCAAGCATTCTAAGGGAACATCAGATCTTTCCCTGTCAGGTAACCTGGTGTTGCTGCCTGGCACTGTTTACCTCCTGTGAGTGAGTGGTCCTGGATGTGCAGTTTGTGTGTATGTGTGTGGCGGGGGGGGGGGGGGGGGAGCCCTTTGTAAAACCCATGGTCTCATGGCTGTCAA